CGCTTGAGGCGCCGCAGCACTTCCCGACGTTGCTTGAAGCGCGTCCACCATAGACTTTGAATGTAAACCTGCTGCTCCTGACGCTGAAATCGCGTTCGGTGTGAACGCACCATAAGAGGCTAATGGATGGATGGCCATCAAAAACAACAAATCTTTTCCAACATTAGTCTATTTTTGGCTGTAGTTTTAAAATATCAGTATTATAAATATGATGTTAGATGACCAATCACCATTTGTTGCATTTGAATATTTCAAAAAAATAGGTATGAACACAGGAAGTAGAGCTTAAACTAATTTTTATTGTAAAAGATAAAGTAACTTCAAAAGATTTACATCTTTTGTTTTACAAAAATTGATATAAAACTTCATGCACGTTAGATTTTCAAGTGTTTGTTCATAAAATAGTAAACAAAGCAATTTAGTAGGGTTGGGCATAATCCTATCGTGTGCAATTAATCATCAGAAAAACATTAATCCATTATTTTTTTGCACTTGACAATTAATATGATTAATGTCACCAGGCAGATTGACTAGATATTTCCCTGGTCAGTCCACTCGGTGCTCCTCTCCGCTTCAAATATAACGACCATAAAAAAAAAAAAAAATTCCGAAATTTATTTATCTAGCAACACAATTTAAAATTTGATGTATAGCCCGAATGTATAGACTGTCTGTAATTTTGACAGTTTGGAACAGATTTTTATGAAGAGCAAATCTTTCCAACTAAATTAGTCATGTGACCAGGACATAAGTGTCCAGGGACTCCAGGGGATTAATCGTCAAATTAATCGTTATCGGCTAAATACCACAATTAATCGTGATTAATTGTTTTGCCAATATCGCCCAACCCTACTTTAGTATTTTTTGCTTCTACAGTGAAACATCAAAGATTAGTTTGAAAACAAATAATTCATATTTTACATAAATTTTTCAGAAAGATAAAGTATGAGGTAGGTTTTTATAAATGCAAATTCTACAATAACTGCAAAATCCGAATTCTACATTGAAATAATTGTTTAAAAATATTCATCTATAAAAATAGTAAACATCTACACACTAAAACAGAGGGTTCTTTAGAACAGTGGTTCCCAAACTTTTTATCTTCTGACCCACAAAATATCCATGGCAAAAACTTGTGACCCCAAATATTACTGGTCTGAGTACACAACCCTAAAAACGCAGGTTTTTTGAAAATCTAAACAGCTTGTACACAAATATAAATACTTATTTATAC